CTGAACTACAGTATAATTCCATGACTGCAGTTAGATTTATTGTGCCAAAATAGGAGAGAACAACACATAAGTATTTATAACCAGCAAAGTTTATTGAAATTTCATAGCTGCTCTGGCAGTCCCTGAAGAAACAGATGAAATAGCTATCTTGGCATGTGATTTTTTTTAAGAAGCAGCCCCAGTGGTGTACTGACACACTACGGCCCTGGTTTCGGGCTCACCTCTGGATGATCTATATGTTTACCAAGAAGACTTAGGGAATCTATTCCAATAAACTGGGGGAAAAAATATTAAGTAGTAGAGGAGAAAGCCTAGTTAGAGACCCACCTATATTTCATTCAGACACATTTAATATGCTTGTCTATTCCAAAACCTCCATGACTACCTACTGGCTCTACTGAAGTATGAACCTTCACAAAAGTATGAACCTTGTTATTTTTTGCCTCAAATTATCTCTGTTAATTCGAGGCAGAAAATAACAGGGTTCATACTTGTTTACACTTAAGGCTGCCACATTTTTCTCCCATGGAGTGACTGGTGGATTTGAACCACTGACCTTTGGGTTAGCAGCTGAGTGTTTAACCACTGTGTCATCAGGGCTCCTTTATATTACTTTCTGTAAAACCCAGTTGGTCAGGTGTCTTCCCTTTACTTCCACATCGTGCATCTAAGGGAGTGGGGACCATAATTAAAAGCTAGTAAGTCTCCTTTCAAGCCAATACTAGCTACCTGGACCATCCTCTACCCCTCCTCAAGACATTTCCAAAATAAATAACTTACCTTGATATCTAAAACCAATACTTTTGGAAAGCAATGATTAGATTTTAGGATGCAGGCTGGTTGTGAATTAAGCTTTAAAGAATTAGTGTGGCTCGAAAGAAAGCAGAGGAAGGGGCTGAATAAGGCATCACTCAGAAAAGTCATATTTGCAGAAAACAGTCCATTAATGAAACTAAAACTGGTGATTTTATTGCAGATGAGATCTAGGCTAAGAGAACTAATTCAAATCCATAATAATCCTGTAACATAAGAAAAAACAACAACAACAGCAACCATAGATTTATCCACCACTTGTCTGTCAGTATGGATTACACCTCAACATAAAGAAAATGAAAATTCTCACCACTGGACCAGTAAGCAACATCACGATAAATGGAGAAAAGATTGAAGTTGTCAGTCAGGTATTTCACTGTATTCACACCGTAGGAAACCGTATGGAGCATTTCTACTCTGGCATATGGAGCAGTTATGACTGGGAATCAAACCCGTAACACAAAACAACGACATTATACTTGTGGATATAATCCCCATTTAGGAATAGGGCTTTCTTTGTTATGTTAATGAGGTCACATCAGTGTTGGATGTGTACTAAACCTCATCAATTGTAAGTTACAAAGAGAGATGAGTAGACAAGCAAGCACAAGCTGGGGAAGACAGATGCCATGTGAAGATAAGCAATGGTCCAAGGAATGCCCAGGCTACTAACAAGGAAGAAACTGACAGGGTCCAGACCCTGAGTTGGACTTTGAACTTCTAAACTGTGAGAAAATAAATTTCTGTTTTGTAAAGCCACCTGCTTGCAGCCATTTCTCAAACAGCAGCACTAAGAAACGAGACAATATTGCAAAACTGTAGTCCTGAAACAATGCTTATAGATTTCAACATATCAATTCTTATTTTCTGAGGAGCCCTGGTGTCACACAGATTAAGTGTTTGACTGCTAACCTAAAGATTGATAGCTTGAACTCATACAAATGCTCTGTGGGGAGAAAGACCTGGTGATTTGCTTCCATAAAAATGACAGCCAAGAAAACCCTACAAGCAGTTCCAGTTGTCACACGGGGTGCCTGAGTCAGAACCAACTCGAGGCCTTCAACAACAACAATCTATTTTCAATTGACCTTTATTATAAATATGGGAATAAACTAACTTGGAAAATGGCCTAAAACCTATTTTAAATAAACTAGATATTATGAAGATTCCTCTAGAAGGTAATACTTGGGATATTCTAGAAGTAAAATCAGTATGTCCAAGTTATGATTTATTACATTATGGAATTCAAAATTTTTCTACATACATTCTTTATTTAATACTTGATTAATACTATAGGAGCTCTGGTGGCATAGTGCCTAAAGCATTTGACTGCTAACCAGAAGGCTGGTGGTTCAAACCCACTAGCCCCTCCTTGGAAGAAAGACTGAGCAATCTTCTTCCATAGAGATACTGCCTTGGAAACCCAAGGCAGGGCCTGCTATGAGCCAAATAGACTTGATGGCAGTTGAGTTTTTATTTTTTTTTAAATTAATATTTAATTTTTTTCATAGTTCACAAAGAAACTTAGAAGAATATATTAAGTCAGAAAAACTTAACCTTGAAAAATTTCCAATTTGTTTTATATTAATTTAAAATAACTTACCCTGGTGCATAGTTGCATATAAAAACTGCTGCATGTTTAATATACCCAATTCTTGAACAAGGAGTAACAGCACAACCAACTTTATAAGAATTGTCCCAAACAACCTAAAACAAAATTTTCAAAGAAAACATAAAATATATGCTGAGCGAA